CTTTAATATTCCAGTGGTGAGAGGACCATAAAGACATCCTAGAATTTTATGATATGTGGAGTAGGTGCCAATACAACTGTTTATAATAAAATAAATAAATTTCATCTCAGGGAAAAACAAAAACATCCTAACCAATCTTTTTCTCTAATTTCACAGAAAGGAATTAAGTAACGGAATCAAGGTCACCCATCGCCCAGAGACCGGACCAAGATTTGAGTTTGGATTCTAGTCCAGTTTGGAACTATGTGTTCAAGCATTCATGTTTGTTTATGGTCCATTAGCTACAGTCCAGTGGCTACACTGGAGATACACTGCTGTGTTAGACTGGGTTGACTGGAGAACATTCATATATGTATAGGAAAGAGCTTTATATGGAAGAACAATTGTATATTGAGAAAACATCCCAGCCTGGTCCAGATCAAGTCCGTAAGTCTTACACTAGCCCTTAAGTCCAATACTAATCATCAATTCCTATTCAGACTCACATAACACATGCAGGAAGATCACAGGTCAGTGGGTGCAGTCTTATGGATTCAGTGACAGTGCAAGCATCTCTAGGCTCTTGCAAGTCTCTGAGGGGCTTGTGAGTGTGTGTCCTGCCTCTAGGGCAGTGGTTCTCAACCTTCCTAATGTCGCCGTGCTGTGGTGACCCCCAACCAGAAATTATTTTCGTTGCTACTTCATAACTGTAATTTTGCTACTGTTATGAATCATAACCTGATATGCAGGATGTACTCATTGTTACAAGTTTGAACAATTAAAGCATAGTGATTAATCACAAAAACAATATGTAATTTTATATTGTGAAATATTTATTTCTAATTACAAATAAATGAAATTTTGTCCTGAAGCATGGGGGAGCATGGGTAACAGTCTTCACGCCGGGTACTCGTATATAGGCAGATCTGCATCTGGGCGCACCACCTGGAGACGGAGAGAGGAGCAGTGTCTCAGTTCCTAAGACCATCGGAAATATGTGGTTTTCCAATGGTCTTAGGCGACCTCTGTGAAAGGGTCGTTTGACTCCCAAGGGGGTCGCAACCCACACGTTGAGAACCGCTACTCTAGGAAGAAAGAAAGCTTGTTCCCAGAATCCTCATGAGAAGACCAAGTCTACTAGGAGGCATCATCAGGCTGTGACCTGATTGACAGGCTAGACTCCACCCCTAGACTTATTTATCAAGTTGACATGAAATTATGCAACTACTACAACTGGTGAATGAAACACAAAGGTGGTCTCTGGTCGTGTGGAGCTTAATATTTGTGGCAAAGGCTGACAATAAAACAAGTAGACAAACATTCAAATAAGAAATAGAGGTGGGTAGGGGGAAGGTGGGAAGGGGAGGAAGGGGGAACCAATTGCCATGATCAACACAAAACCACACATACCCCTTCCAGGGGGATGAACAACAGAAACCATGGGGGAAGGGAGACAGCAGTTGGTGTAAGATATGAAAATAATAATAATTATAATCTATCATGGGGTAATGGGGAGGAGCTAATACCAGGGCTCAATAGAAAACAAATGTCTAGAAAAGAATGATGGCAACCTAAGTACAAATATGCTTGATACAACTGATGTACGGATTGTTGTAAGAGTTGTAAGGGCCCCCAGTAAAATGATCTTTTAATAAAAAAGAAATAGAGGTATACTGAGAAACTATGATAGCAATCATAAAGGAAACTATTATGGCAACATGACAGAAAATAACTATTTGGGGAGAAGCTGGGGAGAAAAATTACTTAGATTGGGGCAGGGGCTCAGAAGACCTGCGTGAGGAGGTGGTATGTAGGCAGGGATAAAAGAACTCAACCAGAGAGAGAGAGAGAAACAAGGCCATGAGGACTTGAGGCAGTGCGCTCAGGAGAAAAGGGACTTTTTCATGTCATAAGTAGTGAACAGAAGCGAGGATGGCTACAGGGAGGTGGCCCAAGAGTTCAGTCCCTGAGGGGAGGCTAGAGAGACAAGCAGAGGTCACGTGAGGCAAGGTCTGGGAGGGGGGCATTAGGACTATAGTCTGCACTGAATGGTACATGTAAACCAGGCGTGTTTTTGTTGTGTATAATCTCAACCGCCACCATGAAACAGACTGCATGCCATTCGGAGAGCAGCGAGAAACCCGGGAGGATGCACTCAGTAAGGGCATCGTTCCGTTGATGTTTTAGAGATGACTTTGATTGCTATGAATTCAGATCAGGGAGAAACAAACCTGCTGTAGCCAAGTCGATGCCAAGTCCTGGTGACCCTTTGCGGCAGAGTTACCCTGCTCCGTAGGGTTTGTGAGACTGTGACTGGGGCAGAAGCAGCCTGCCTCCTCCTTCTCCCACAGAACAGCAGGTCGCTCTCAGTGCCAGCCTTCAGGTTAACAGCCTGGCCCTTAACCCAATGCCTCGCCAGAGCTCCTTAGCCTAGGAGAAAGGCAGAGACATTTTTGTTGAAAATGTTTTAATTACACCAAATTGGCTAATAAATAAAGCTAGCTTTTTCTGGGCACAGTGAAACATTTGCCAGAGGAAAGATTTAGTGCACAATGTAGATAATTTTAGTAGGTAATACAGGCTGAGAAAAAGCCTGAGGGCACTACTTCCTTTCGATTATTGTATTGAGAAAATATTCAACCCTGCTAACTCAGTCTTCAAAGAAGAAAGGTTATCTTTGTCTATACAGAACAAGGTAGATGGTAATAGAGGCCAACAGAAAGTGAGCTGATAAACACTTTAATATAGATAAGTAAACTTGCCCTGTGGGATTCTGGTCAGTTCTGAAGTGCTATTCTGTGTGTGTGTGTGTGTGTGTGTGTGTGTGTGTGTGTCCCCGATCTCAAAAAACTTATTTAAAAAAATATGGCCACCATTCAGAATCTTTCTCTGAACTTCTTTAACATTCTAGAAGCATGAGACAAACAAAAAACCTTCACTTCCATCAAGCTGATTCTGACTCATAACTGCCCCCGTGGGTTTTCGACCCTTTAAGAATTTCCTCTTAATATTCCAACCTTACAACTCAGAGGGGCCTCACAAATCCACCAATTCACTCCCTTATTTCACGGTGGAGAAATCTCAGAGCTGTGGACATTCTTCAGCTGATGGGTAACGACACTCAGAACTCAGCCCCACCTTCTCCCAGTTCTTCCTTTAAAGGAGATCATTCCAAAGAGGGTCCATCTTACACAATCTTGAACTCCCAAGGAGACTGAAATCTCTGAGGGATAAGATGGAAAGGAAGCTCAGGAGAACTACAGGGGGATTCTCATTAGTGAAAGCTCTTCACTGTAAGACTTGCCAAACAACCAGAGTATTCACGGAAGCCCTCTGTATTATTAGTGCCAACAGCTACATAAAGCCCCCGTGTAAAATGAGTATAGAAAATTTGCCTGTACTCTAAGGAGTGTGTTTGGGTTTTGTTTTGTGTGTGTGTGTTTTTTTTTAAAGTTCAGAAGGCACAGAACTAGAGGGAGAAATACACAAACAAAAAAACCTCTGTCCTCTAGTCTGCTCTGACTCACAGTGACCCTGTGGAGTAAAAAAGTAAACTTCTCCTTTGGGTTTCTGAAGCGTCAGTCTGTACAAGAGCAGACAGCTTGTCTTCCTGGTAGGGCTGAATCACTGACTGTGTGGTTCGCAGACGGGGGTTACCCCACTCACCACCAGCGTTCCACAGAGGCAGAAGAGTGAACAGGAAAAGGAAGGAAAATCCGTATGCCGAGAAAAGTAGCACCCACAAAGAAAGACATGGAGGCGGGGTAATAGAAGCAGATTTTGTGCATGTTGTAAGCGATCCGGGAACGCTTGTGTGGTTACAGGGACTGGGTAATGATGTTATCTAGAAAGGAAAGGGAGCCAGATTAAGGGAGGCCTTGAGGGCTGGAGAATGAGGTTTGATCTGTGCTCAAAGCCAACTTGCTCTGCCAGAAAATAGATAAATAACTATCTGGCAGAAGGAGGAAAAACAATTGATATCTGTGAAAGCAGAGATGAGGAAAGTGAACAAGTTGCACAAAATGTAATGAAGGTGGGAGTAGCCGTCGAAGGCTAGTGAGCCGCTGCTTTGTCCTCGGTTTGTGTCCTGTGCTCGGTCCTTTGTGGGCGAAACGCAGTAGGACACATCTGCACCGTGGGCACCAGGCAGTCATTGGAATGACTGTGGAAGTCTTTGAGGTACAACCTGCCCAAGTGGAAGCGCCCAGGTGCACAAGTACACCTCGTGTGTGCTGTCCCTACCAGAGGAAGGGAAGGTATATGGGTGTGTGTATACAAGGGGACTTCAGAAACTTGTGGGGAAACCCACCAATTCTCATTCCAGCTTTCTGCCAGCGTTTGGAAGCCCGTCACATGTTTGTATTTACAAAGACAAAAAGGACAAATGAGAGACCGGCCACACAGGTTGTCTTCTTGAGGGTAAAAGTAGGGGCAAGGGGAGGACACTTGTATCTTAAACCACATTCGAAAATCGTTTTAGAAAATTAAAACATTTGAAACCGGTTTCTCTTACAAAGGTGCTGAGCATTTTGTGGCGTGGATCCTGGAGCCTAACTTCAAACCGGTTTCAATCAAATGTCTTTCCTGCATCTAGACTTACAAGAAGTGGTCCGTGCCCCCTTGGCCCCTTGCCGCAGCCCCCGGGGTGCCCTAAAACAGCAACAGAAGCGATGGAAAAGGAGGGAAAGAACCCCTTTGATCCAGCTGGGCTGTCTCCCTTGACATTCTCCCCGGTCCCACGCCTTTTCTTGAGCTTGTCTCCACGGGACACAGGGCTCGGCGGCCGTTTCTTAAGTGGGAGATGAAAGAAGATGCTTTAAAAAAATGTTTAAAAGCCAACCCTCTGGCCAAACGCGCTTTCCCCCAAGTCCGATGTGAATGTAAGAGTGTGGTCGGGCAGCTCTCCTCTGTGTTTTTGTGGGACCCAAACTTTCCCCTGCATCACATGGCCGCGCCGAGCCAGTCGGCGGCTGGGAAACGCGATCGCCGCGCTGCCGCCCGCCCCGCCCCGGAGCCCGGCCAGCGAGCCCGAAACCGCCGCGGCCCGGCCGGAGCCTCCACTCTCGCTCGGGCTCGGCCAACCGCTGACTGCAGAGGTGAGCAGGAGCTTCTGGGGCTACCCGGAGGGCAGGGGGTTACCAATGGCAAGACCTGCCCGAGCGCACAGAAACAAGCACATTGGCACCTCTTCTCTTCCCTGCCCGCTCCCCTTTAAATAATGGGGGAGGGGGGTGCTGCTAGTGGACCAAGTCCCGGGCCGTTTTCTTCTAAGAGCTTCCCTCTGGCGTCTTCGACCTGTGCCTGGGTTTGCATCATCTGTGGTCATCTTGGCTGCTCAGTGATGGACACGGTAATTCAGCTTCTTCTGATGCCTCACGAAGGAGCCACTCCCAAGTCCCGACAGGAAAGTCGGCAAACAGACTGGGAGG